TCTCTCTCTCTCTCTCTCTCTCTCTCTCTCTCTCTCTCTCTCTCTCTCTCTCTCTCTCTCTGTGTCACGGAGTGATGCAGTCCCTTTTTCTCAATCTCGTTTTCCTTCTTCCTTTTTTCTTCTTTTTTCCAAAATTTTCTTTGTTTTTCTTTTGATTTTGTTCACGTTTATTGTAAACAAATTTGATGTCCTCGAGGCTCGTCACCGTAGCTGTAGGTTAGGCCTACTGGTAGCTCTAGGGTCGGGCCTTGACAACCGGTAGGTACTGGTGGTTTAAGGTTGTGCCTGGATGGATGTCCAGCGGAACGGCACCCCTATACTTTCTGAGGGTTGCAGCAGCATGCACGCCATGACTCTGAAAAAATGGCTGGAAAACTTCCTGGTGACTGGCTTAAACCCTGTCCATGGGCTATACCCTACCCTACCCTAACCTATGGTATACCCTATCCTCCCCAACTGTGGCATTCTGAGCCACACGGGCCCCAGTTAGGGCCCGGTTCCAGATAGGCAGGGTAGGCCTAAGGGGATGACAGTTCAGATGAGGCCCAGGTAGGCCAGGGGTACGACTGTTCAGGCAGGCCAGGGGTAGAGGCCCAGGCCAACAGCCACAAGGCCGGTACCGGTCCAGCATAGGACCTACCGGCGGCGCAGTTTCAGAGGCTGCCGCGTTTAGGCGCCAAGTCCAGTTTCGAATCTGGACTGTTGATCAGATCAACGGTCCAGGCCGGTAGGTACCAGCAGGTAGGAGGACGGCCCAGCACTACAAAAGGCTGGGTACCAGCCTCAGTAGGAGGTTACCACAGACCGGAGGTTAGTCTTCAGGATTAGCGCAGCATTCCAGCGTTAGCAGGATTAGTGCAGCACTGCAGCGTTACGAGCAGCAGCGAGGGGAGAAGGAGCTCCGTGGCAGAGAAGAGGTAGTGCAGCATTGGGAGCAGCGCCAGCCACCGGCCCAGCCCGCGGCCCAGCGCCAGCCCCTCCAGCGCCATAGCTACCGTGACAGGTACCAGGGAGAAAGGCGTTGCCTTCTCTCCCTCATCTTCTTCCACCGCTCTCTCTCTCTCTCTCTCTCTCTCTCTCTCTCTCTCTCTCTCTCTCTCTCTCTCTCTCT